AAAAAAAAAAAAAAAAAAAAAAAGAAAAAAGAGAAAAAATATAACTTTTAAGAAATTTTCAATAACAATCGCGTAATTTTGTATATTCGCAAAAAAACACGAAGAAAAATACAAATAACTATAATAATTTTTCTACGCTATACTATCTCCTCTAATTGTTTCGATTTTTATACTTTTATTTAATAAATTTTTATATTTTTTCTTGTGATCTAATTTTACAGACTGTTCTTTCGGTTCATTGTCTTTGTAATGAAAAAAAATTGCTGGCTTAGATTTTCATTATTATCTAACATGTTCCTTTAGCTACCTTAATAAACCTAACCATTTTTGTTTATCTTCGCGAGCCTAAGACTAGTATCAAAAAATCCGGTTACACTATTTTTCCTTAGAAAAGTCCACTTTTTTTCGACTGTAATTTTGTATGTTATTAAGAAATCCAGTTTTATCTTTAGAAAAAAGAATGATGTGACTCTTCAGAGCATTTCTAGTTGGAAAAACCTAAGTCCTGAAATATGTATCAAAAGTTGCTGCTTATATGTTTCTCCTTTCTTCTTGTTCTTCTTTTCTATATATATATATATCTCTTTCTCTTTCTTTAAAAATTACAGTTGACTTAAGTCTGTTATGTCTGACATAACATATTTGTATTCAATCACTTGTTCTAATTCCTCAGATGATCCTATTTATAAAATATGTATTAAGAATCGCAGTTCTTATTTCAAATTTCATAACTTTGAGCCTGACATTCAAAAAGGAACTATATTCCTCGACACATTTCCAGTCAGAGAAATCTAGCCACAAAAGTGTCTATTATTCAAGTTTGATTCTAATAATTTAATACGAATCTAATCGTGAAACACGTATCAAGAGGTGCTGTTTCTATGCTTTTTACTCTTCGTTTTGCCAGATTCAAATTCTTCCTCGCTTCTCCGTCGTTTCTCCTTTAGCTGCTTTTCCATAGCAAGCATCGTAATCATTCTTTTATGAGAATCGCCAACGATCCAACCGTGTTGCTCTTGACGATCATCTTCTTCCTCTTCAACTGTAGGGATTATTTCGAGCATTTCCTCTTCGTCACTGGAGCTCGACCAATAATATAACTGATTAGCAGCTGCTCTTTTTCGTCGGCCAATAGCCACTCCAACTCCTTCTTCGACTTTATTCCAAGATTTTGTCGTCTTCAATTCTTCATCGCCAGAATCTCGTTTGCCACTAGAAGACCTACGTTCCTTATCCTTTGATCCTTTTGAATCTGTCCTATTCCTTCTTTCAGAATTCGTATTCTTGTTCTTTTTACCTGTTGTCATTTTTTGATCTAATTTCGTAGTCTTTTTTGGCTTTGTCAAAGACTTAGAGTGCTTTTTTTGCTTCACAGGAGTTTGCTGATTATTTTCATTCTCGTGATTGCTCTCTATGGAAATAAACTTATTGCAATTGTTCTCTAAATCGCTCAATCCTTCATGATTATTCTTAACATAAAAATCTTCGTCTGTCTTATTTTGCTTTTTTTGTTTTTCCTTAGTTTTTTTCTTTTGTGATAATTCTTGTACTATTATGTTTTCTATTGATTCCGTATTCTCTGATTCCTTAGTACTATTAATATCTGTCTTTGCATCTGCAACACTTTGTGCAAGAGACTCTTTTTTCTTCCCAACTTCTCGCAGAATTTCCTCCTCGATAGCCTTTTGTTCCTTAGCTATCATTTGTTCGTGTTTTTTTTCTATATATCTTTCTTTCCTCTTTTCCTTTGATTCTCTCTTTTGTTTTCGCGGTTTATCATGATCTGATTTATCATTTACTTTTTTATCTTTTGAATTCATTTCTTCATCAGAGCTACTAATCTCTGCCAACAATCCTTGTTTGCCAATAGCACATTTTCTCTGTCTTCTAGTAGGCTGGAAATCCATTAATATCCTTTCTTGTTCTTCTTGCATTTTCTTCAGTTGTTGTTCTTTTCTCTTCTTTGATTCTTGCACTTTTCTACTTAAAAATACATGTAATGGAAGATTTTCAGATTCCTTTTGCGGTTTTTCATTGCTCGATAATTTTTCAGGTAAGACTAGGAGTTCATTGTCAGGTTCTTCCTCCTGTACATCTATAGAAACAGGAGATTTTGCTACTTCTTTATTAGGATTAAACGTTTCATTTTCAGGTTCTGTTGTTACCATTGAGTTCACGTGTTCAATAGATTTACCAGTTTTGTTTACATTATCATATTTTGTTCCTACAGAATTTCCATTATCAGCTTGATCTAGAAGATCTAAGGCTTCCTCAAGTGGAATCAATTCATTTTCCTGTATGTAATCTTTCTTAGTATCAGTATTTTCTTCTGGTAGGTTTGGACCATTCGATCTGAACTCTTCTGGATCTTTTGATAACTCAGTGAGAGGAGCTGAATCTTCCTCTTCTGAATCAACAACGGAACTGTCTTCTCTATATAGATCATCCATTTCAAAGTTCCTCTCGTATTGATTTTCAGTTTCATCATCGCTATTCCTTTGTTCATCTATATCTTTCCTCTCATCGATAACCAAAGGATGATCTGACATTTCTGACTCAGATTTTTTGTTATCACAATCATGCTTAGAGATATCATTCTTCGAATTTTCATCCCTCCAATTATCAACATGATCTTCGTCTTCGGAAGAGATTTGATATTTATTAATCGATTCCTGACTTTGTTCCACATTTTCTAATTCAGTTATTTTCTTATTGCTCTTTTTCACTCTTCTCTGTTTTCTCGATTCATAGTCCGTTTCCTCGTCCTCAAATTCACTTTCAGATGAAGTGTATAATTCTGCAAAAATATTTTGTTTCCCTTTCGAACATGTTCTTTGACTCTTTGAAATACCTACACCAATATCTTCAGCTTTTATAGCAGTTCTGTATTCATCAGAGCTATCATTTTCATACCATGCATTCCTAGTCTTTTTTTTAGAATTTTTGTTACGTTTCTTCAATTTCGAATGTTTCAGAGATTGCTCTACAGATCTTTTACCTTTTGATTGCTTTCTTTCTACAAATTCATCCATAGGTCCAGTAATCTGTTGTTGTTGATCCTCACTCTGGAAAGATTTCAAAGCGCCCTTCGTTTTTGGAGCAAACTTTTCCAGTTTCTTGAACTTTTTATCAATCACAGATTCTAATCTGTCATTTAAAACATCATCAGTTTTTGCATTTTCTAGATTATCTCCGATAGTCTTGGACATTAAGCCAGTCATATCTATTTCTTTGGTTTTCAAACAATTTATTTCATATCCTGGCTTACTCCTGTAAGACATGACACTACCCAGATTAGTTTCTATTTGACTTTCTTCCTCGTCAAATTCATAAATATCCTTGATCTTATCCGAGACAAATTCTTCTTTCCTCTCAAATCCATCACGACGTTTTTTCCTTTCAACCAGACCTCCGTGTTCATTACGGCGGATCAAAGGAAAATCCTGATGTTTCTTTGTCTTTTTGGTTTTGCGTTGTTTGTGTATATTTATTTCTCGAAGAGCTGCATCTGTTTTTGACTTCTCTTGTTGTTTCCTCTCGTTTATTTCTTTTTTCCTCTCGAAAAGTTCTTTGATAGGATTCCTAGATTTCTTCTGTAAGTCTTTGGACATGGTTATAGAGTTTGGTTCAGGAACTGAATCCTTGGTCAAAGAAATCTTCGTAGGTTGAATCACTTCTTTGGAAACTGGATCCTCAGCTGTGGATGTTGGGACACGAGCACATGCTAGTTCGGCTAAAACCTTCATTGGCGTGGATCCACTGTGGATAGAATAATTTTGTTTTGAATATTAAATTGAAAATAATTGAAAATTAATAGGATAGCATATAATTTACTAAAGATTACATCATTTCTCGGCATTTTTTTTTAACTATTCTATCTTTTTTTGTCATTATTATTTATGGAAAATTAAAAAAATAAATTAAAAAAATAATTAATTTATAATAAATTCAGCATTTTTTAAATTTTTAAATTCAGCCTCAATAATGTTAAAATGACATTTTTGACGTTTTTCTATTTTCTTTACTTCAAATTTTTATTAATTATTTTAATATTCCAATTGGGTATTATATTTATATTTATAAAGTAAGAAAATAGATATATAAAAATTTTAATGGCAAAAATTCTACTTCTAAATTCAATCTGACTTTATTACGTATAAGAATCATATATCAACATAGCCACTACATGGTAATAGATTTACAACCACCTGAAGCATATTTATTCTTCTACGTTTCCTGTTCCAAACCAGGGAATGGCTGCTGAGCCAAGTTGGTAAGAGAAATGCTCTTGCAACAAGAGTTTCCATCGACTTTGAATTATTGTTTAGCCAAATAACGAACATCAGAATATATATTTCCACCTCTGTTATATGGAGATACCTTGTCGTGAGTGGGTGGAATGACGGGATCAGATCAATACATAACGAAGAGGAAACCATTCAACAAGATACCAACGTCTTGTTATTTACAGATATAATATTATTTTGATATTCGTTGAAGACACTTGATGCTTTTTAACATTCCACGAATTAGATTTATGCAAATTTTGTTACAGAAAAACATAGAATTTTAAAGTATATTATTTTGAAATATAGGCCATAATATTTTAATTTAAAATTTTATTTTAATTCATCGAAGTAAATTATATTATTTAATTTTAATTTCTAATTTTATGTTTATGAATGAGGATTTTAATATATTTTCTTTGGTATAGCACGTATTATTGAATAATGAAATGAAAATTCAATTATATTCAAATATTCATTGTAATTAAAAGAACTTTACATTTGCAAAGTATTAATGATTCATTAAATAAAAGACAATTGGAATAACTTCGAAATAGGCAAGAAGGCAAGGAAATAATCTTTTGATGATAAATGAAAATTAATTTTACAAGAGGAAAATAGTATTGTATAATGAATTTGATGAAAATATTAATATATTAATATGATATATAAGATATATTAACATTAACATTAATATTAATATTTTATTCTATCCATTTTCAATAAAGAAAAAAAATTTTGACTTTCTTCGATTCTATTATGAATCTCGAGAAACCAATTATAGAATGTGCTAACCTTTCGTTTAAAATAATTTTTCAATGAATTTTTCAAAGAATTTTATATACTGCAGTATTTCAAGAGTGCAATCAACAGGTGTGAAAATAAAAAATTTTGATATTCGATATACTGTATGAATTGCAATTTTTTTTGGAAGAGATATAACAGTAAGAGACACTTGATTTGATACGTAACAAACGATTTGTCATCGTTTGACATTCTCTGAAATCGCTTTTTTGTGTAAAATAATTGTGAGGTTGGCTTAAATTTGTTGTAAAAATTTAATGCCAACAATATCAATTTAAAAAAATGGAATTGTTGCAACATATCAAATTTAAAAAATTTTAAAAATTTTAACCACCATTATAAGTTTGATTCATTATAACGTAGTTCAATTTTCAAAAATATCATTCAATACAATAGAATTATTTTCTATTAGCATTAAAAATTACTCACTTGTGATCATGTTTTTCATTGCTGTGCCATAAGTTAGATAATGCTTTGTCCAGTAAACCACCTAATGAAGAGTTCATTTTACCCTTGAGCCCTGAAGATTCCACATTCATTTTTCTATCGTTGTGCTCCTCTTGCGGGTCTCTACTGTGCAAAGGATTGTAGTCTCCATCCGACAGATTCGAACCAGTCATGTGTCCTTGATCTTGCAGACTAGCAGAATACGAATTTTTCGTGATATCCAATTCATTCTTCTTAGAAAAGCCTCGTTCACCCCGTATCAACTCGTTATTGCTCTTCTGGCCAAACGTGCTGGCTATCAGATTCTCGCTCTCTCTCATGCGCTGTTGAATTTTGTCTCTGAGCTTGTTGTTGTGCTCGAATGCAACGTCCAGACTGTCTTCGTAGCCCAGATTATCTGCTCTGGCCATGTCAGGACTGGCTGATCTGCTGGAGTGCTCACTCCTTAGATTTCTACTGCCATGCTTTTGGTAATCCCTTTCTCTGGTGCTGTACATCTCTTCGCCCAGTAACTGGAAACGGATCAGATTGAATAGTGAATAACGATTTGACGGTCGATGGTTTCTCGATGGATACTCTTTTCGTACCCATAATAATTTTTTGCTTTCTGCAAAGTGCACGCGGATCATTTGAGAGCAATGCAAATCGAATTGGGACCAACCAAAATCAAAAGTATTTTGGTGACATTATCTAGAACAATGGTCATCTAGAGTAGTAATAAAGATGCTATTTTGGATTGTGAAATGGGCCACTTTACAGCAAGCAGAATGCAAATATCTACAATAGCTCAAAATAGTTTCACAGGAAACTGTTGATCAGTAATATTAAATTTTATTTACCTAAGGTAAGAGAGAAGCCTTTTTTAAATGTGATTTTTTTTGGATGAGTAAGAAATTTTATGTTCTTGTGCATATATAATCTATATTATATAAATGGATTGTGTTAATAATAGCAGAATCTTTTTTTTTTTGTATTAAAGAAAAATTAAAGGTTTATTATTTTGTTTTTCATAAGACAGTATAGTTTTGTAAAAGATGTGAAGCATTTGAGAAGAGAAAATAAAGATTTGCAGAGTGAAAAGAATCATTTAGTAATGCTTGTTATTATTTACTTGCATTTTTTTTTTTTTAGACATTAAAAGACAGTTTTTGAAGGAATAGGTTTCATGACTACCATACACACTAAGAAATATCAAAGGAATGAGAGAACTACCTTTTGCATGCATACTGAGAGACATTGTCTGTATAAAGCTGGTTCATAGGTCCTGCAAACATTACCACAATAATGTATAGAATATTTTCTTTCTTGGAATTCTATGTAAGGGTGTAATTCATTTTATTATTGAAACTTTATTTCTGGAATAATTGAATCATTGTTTAATCAAATGTAACGCAAAATATAAGATTAATAGAAAAAAAAACTTGATATCCAATATTCAATTGATAGATAGTGTGTATAAATTAATGTATTATTTATTAATTTGTTTTCGGAATTTCGAAAGAAAAAAATAATTAGAAAAGTTTGTATTTTTATTCTCTTATTGAAATTATTATTATTATTATATATATATATATTTTTTAAGAAACACCCTTACAGATAAAAATTCTATAAGTATTTATAAAAAAAAATGAAAATTGCAGATGTGAATTGAAAGTTGTTTTTTAGCTAGAACATATAACACGTATTATAAGATAGTTAAGCGAAATAGCAAATAATTTGAAAAAAGAAAAAAAGTTTTGCATGCAAAGTGTAGAATTGTTGCGATGTGATACATTAAAAGAGTTTTGCAATTCGAAGAATAAAAATTATGTATTTAAATATTAAAAAATATGCTGTTAACTTACCTAGCTATTTCAAATTTGGTTTTGAAATATTTTATTAAATTTTTAAATTAATCTTTTAAACATTTGCTGATCGATAGATACATAATCAACCTCATTTTTGATCAACATTGCTGACAAGATTGATTGATTGCTGACAAGAGAAATTTATAAAAAAAGAAAAAAAAAAAATGTGAAAAGAATCATGCAAAGATGTGTAAAAAACGACATATATAATATAAGAAAAGGAAGTATAATATTAAAACATTTGTTAATTTATAAAACACATTTTTATAATTTATTTAATATTCTTTGTATCAAAATAAGTTTTTCACCATAAAACAAATATTCTAACAAGGATGCAAAAATTAAATCATTCTCAGATCAAATACTCACCTGATTTACCGATTCCAATAGACTTCCCAAACTGTTCTGACTCTCCACGTCCCTCCACCGATCCTTAGGCCCTCTGAATCCTTGATGCTGATCATCCTTCTTATGATAACCTTCATTATGATCAAGCTTGATCTTCTTAGCGCCTCTGAGTTCGTTTTCAGTGGTGGCTTTCAATCTGGAGCAACACTCGACAAACAGTTCCTCGTCAAAATTCAATACCTTGCCCTGTCTAGGCTTCGCCACCTCTATCTCCTGTGGAACATCCAAAGCGTTGTCTTCTATGGCGTCGGTGGGTGCTATAGTGACGACCTCGCTCTTGTGGATCGAAGAGGGCGATCTGATCACAATCTTCTCGCTAGAAAACTCGCTTAAACTTCTCTTTCTAGTTGCAACCTGGTTAACGATTAATGTCTCATCTTGTTCTTCGTTTTCACTGTTCGAGCTACTCTCCACGGAACTTCTGGGTGTCCCGCAGACGAAGAAAGGAGATATTCGTCTGTGGGCGATATTCTCATCTTCTTCGTCGTTCATATCAGAGTTTCTAGTGGTTTGAGAGTTTCTGTCCATACTCGGGGATCTATTCCTCACGCTACTGGGCGCCAGACTGCTACAACTACGAGAAGAATCTAGGTCAACTGATAGTCTACCTCCAGCCAGAGGTTCTGCCTCAGGGAAATCCTTGACGAAATTGTCTTCCTTGTCTTCGTCTAAATCCTTGGTATTCTCCAAACTTCTCCTATCATTCGTCAGATCTCTCCAAGCTTCTTCTTCACCCTTGCCTTTACTCTTCCTGGAACATGATAATTTCCTTCTTTTGGCCTTCTGATCATCTTCTACAGACTCTTCCAAAGCAACCATTTTGGAGGAATCCTCATCATAGTTGAAGGATCCGTAGCCACTGTCCTTGATCATCAAGTCAGGCTTGCCTTGATTCCTCAATCCATAACTCGATTCCTTGTATTTCAACGATCTTTGGCTTTTGCCAATCAAATTGGCGTCCAGGTAATCGTCCTCGAAAGTTCTCGAAATTAATTCTTCAGCCCTCTTCTTGCTTTGTCTGCATTTGGTAGATGGTAAAGACAAGAAGTAATCTACATCGTGCTTCCTCCTGTTACTGGAGTTGTTCTTCGATTTCGAATGCTTTCTGGAAGAACGATGCTCCATTTGATCTTCTTCTTCCTCCTCCTCTTCCTCCTCCTCCTCCTCCTCTTCCTCCTCCTCTTCTTCTTCCAGTATCAGACTTGTCTCTTTGCCTCTCTCCGTCGAGGAAGAACTTTTTTTCAACTTTTTCCCAGAACGCTTGTTGGGAGAACTAGAAGGGGTAAACGATGTGTGCCTTTTTTTGTCGTTGGAGGACTCTTTGGTCTTAGCTTCGTTAGAGAATCTAAAACCGGTCCTCGAGAGATCCGAATCATCCTCCGATTTGGACACCCAATCGTTCAACACTTCCTTCACTTTGTCTGGCTTTTCACCGCTGCCAAACACTCTGCCAAACACGCTTTTCACTATTTTGCTCTTGTTCTGCGACTCGATTTTATCCTCGACCTCGCTCTCGTCGCTTTCGCTATTAAGATCGTTGATCTTACTCCTTACGCAAGATCTCCTCCCTCTCGATCCCTTGTGATTGTCCTTGTTCGAATATTTGCGACTCCTTGGCGCCTTTTTGCTCGAATTTTCACGATCGATGCTCGATTTCCGACTCGTCACTTTCCCTTCGTAAACCTCTTTATCGTTTTCCATCGACGAAATCCCTTCGTTTTCCGATTCCGACGAACTTTTCGAATCCTTATCGGAATCTTTCAACCTTCTTTCAGCTTCCTCGTCCGACGCGATCCTCAGGAATTCGTCGTTATTCGTCTTTTTACCATTTTTTCGATTCTCGTTCAACTCGTCCAATGAATTATCATCGATATCACATTCGTTCGTTTTACGAGTATCAATATCCTCTTTCGATCTCGTTTCAGAATGTTGCGGAATGTTTACGCGGAGAGATCCCCGTCTCTTGTACATTTCTAATCTCTCTTCTCTTTCCAACAAGACTTGCGACAACGGTTTGTCGGCAAGGCTGGACGAAGACGAAGCATCGTCGTAGTCGTCCACGGAACGGAAAGATTCGATTCGATCGTCCTCCGACGACTCGACCTTCTTCCCTTCGAAAGTACTTTCTTCGCCCAATGATTCAGGTTTAGACGATTCGATTTTCGCCGCAATTCTATCAGGTTCGTATTTATCGTCGTTCTTTAAGACGTTATTCTCCTCCGATTTCGACGAGGATGTCGAACACCTGAACCTTTCATCGGTGTCGAAAGTTTTCGAAGATTCGATCGGGTTTTTGTCATTTGAGATATCGTCGAATTTATTTTGATTAATTTTAGATTTGCCAGAGGTTTTCGCGATAGATTTAGACTCCGTTTTCGACCCGTTTTCCAGCTCCTGCACGTGTTTCCTGGGTCTACCTTTCTTCGACTTCCCGTGTCGTGGCGTTCTCTCTGTGGGTTCGTTCTGCTTGTCGTCTCTTAGGAACGATTCATCACGATTCATCGTTGTGCTTTCTTCCTCGAAACCGTTGCTGGAAACGTCCAGTTCAGGATTATTCTCCAAATTCTTCTTTCCATCGTCCATCGTCTTGAAATTTTTGGACAAGCCAGGGCTCGAGTCTCGATCAAATTCGCCGCCAACTTCGGTTTTCGAATTATAGGATTCGTTGTTCGCGTTATTTTCATAATTTTTCTTCGAATCGCTATTAACAACGTCGTCGAGATCAAACGTGTTCAGGTAATTCAACTTGAAGCTGTTGCTGCTCTCGGAATCGATTTCTTTGCAAGCTTCTATACTTCGTTTATTTATGGTCAACTTTAAACTTACACGCTCGCACGGCTGATCCTTTTCGATATCGTCTCTATCGTCTAACCTAACATTTGAAAAATTCTCAGTCTTATCGTCGGTATCTAATTTATAATTACTCGTATATACATCATTCGCCATTTCATTCGTCATTTCTCTGTCCATTGGTGGTTCCTCTATGCCCATGCCCACATCCTCCTGCCTCTCTTCCAATTTTCGAGCGCAATCCAAACACCGTTCCTGAAAATCATCGTTCTTTTCCATCCTTGAAACACTGCCTCCTGCTAATTCCATATTGTTCGCAACAGGGTTCTTGAGCGGATCCTCCAATATACTTGCAACGTCGGATGATTCTGTCGCGTCAAAATGCGAAGAATTTACAATTTTGATGGACATGCTTGCATCTAGTACGCGCGCCAACGATGAATTTTCCTTAGGGTTCTCCGATACAGGGCTATCCAAAATGATTTGTCCCTCGATTGGACTCCTTTTCTTCTCCTTCTTCTTTTCGTACTTTCTCTTCTTACCAATTTCCTCCACGTTTTTGGCTTCTATTTTTATAGGGGTTGACGTGGATTCCGGTTCAGGGCTGATTTGATCCATGATAACGTACTCGTCGTGGCTCATGTTCTCGGTGATCTTACAGATTTCCTCGTCCAAAAGTTCGTCTTCGAGTATGTGTTGATGATGGGGTTGAGAGGTGATCAAGGAATCCTGTTCCAAGGGATTGGCGAAGCAGGAATTCGTGTGATCCAATTCCACCCGGTCAACGATGGAATTCGTACCTTCAGCCACTTTTTCAGCATCATCCTCCTTCGAAGAAACATTTATCAATGATTCGTCGGTCACGCTTCTATTTTCATCGCTATCATTGTGACCAGTGGCGCAAGGATCCTCTGAATTTTCGCTTCCATTCTCCGTTTTATCCTTTTTCGACTTTTGCAATAAATGAGACTGAGACTGGTTGTGCTTCTTCAGAGAGCTCTTCCTCGTGAAACTAGTTGTGCAAACATTGCAGAAGAACTTGGCAGCCTCCTTCGTCAGCTTCTTCCTCTTCTCCACGATCAGTATCTCACCTGTCTTCTTGTGGACAACCACGTAATTACCCGCCCCTCTCTTCTTCGGCGTCTGGAAATCATCCTCCGTCCTGCTGTTCACCAACCTCTCGTCCTCCATTTTCTCCCCATCCTCCTTCGCTTCCTCCTCTTCTTCCTCCTCCTCCTCCTCCTCGTCCTCCTCCTCCTCCCCCCCCCCCCCCCCCATCCTCCTTCGCTTCCTCCTCTTCTTCCTCCTCCTCCTCCTCCTCGTCCTCCTCCTCCTCCTCCTCTTCCTCCTCCTCAACGATCAACCTATCAGAGTCTTCCATCAACTCCACGTTCCCTTCCTTCGCAAGAACCTCGTCTCCCGATTTTTCGCCCTCCGCCATTTCGTTCGAACGCTCGATTTCCTCCATCGATGATTTATCCTCCGCTCCATCCTCGCGTTTAGATCCAGACTCTAACGATTGTCGACCGCCTTCTTCATCCTTCTTCCTCTCGTCTTCTCCCTCTCGCGTCACGCAATCCTGTATATCCATTGGAATGTCGAAATCGTCCATCAAGTAGAATTCCGTGAAGAACGATATATTCTTCTTGGCCCTCCTCTTCAAACTCTGCCTCCTCTCCGTATTCTTCTCCGATTCCGAGTCGGTGATAGAGGTGTCGGTCTGCACTTCTTCCGAACGCTCGCGCAGCTCCTTCCTCTTCTTCGAGAAACGTTTCCTTCTGAAATAACTGAAATCGCTCGTACAAGACGCCTCTGACAAATTATCCGTGCTCTCGGCTTGCTGATTCGATTGCACCTCCTGGCCGGACAAGTCCTCCGAGGATAGTTGCTTCCTCTTCGACGACCTAGTTTTACCTGCCTGAATCGGGTCAACGGGCGTCCAGTTCGATTTCTCTGGATCGGATGGCTCGATCGAGATCGAGGCGAGTTTTCCATCCTCGGGGGATCCTGATTCTTCCCCCTTCTCCATCTTGCTTACCTCCGCTTGGCATTCCACGCCACTGCAAGTCGTTTCAACTTCCGGCTGGGAATTATTACTCTGATTATCCGGCTGGCCCTCGTCAACGGTCGATTTTCTTTTGTACGTTCTCTTCTTCGTGTGTTGCAACACCTCCGTCACCTCTGGAACCTTGAACGTTTCTAGACTCGGCCCTGGAACACGTAGATCAGCGATCTGTAGATCGTTGTTGCAGGAATTCTTGCTGCTCCTATCCTCGCCCTCCTCGAAGGTCACCAACGTTCTGTTCGTTCTCAAAGATCTTCTAGGAAGTTGGTTTACCGACTCGAACGATTCCGCCTTCGAATCTTTTGTACTCTCTTGAGACTTGTCAATCGTCAAACATTTCTTTTTCCTTCCACGCTTCTTTGGCACTTTGACAACCGGCACCTCGGTTTCTTCCCTCACGTTGCAGATCGATCGATCTTCTGCAACGTCTTCTTTACCTGTCTCATCTCTCCCCGAGTTATCTCGATTCGTTATTGGCGTTTCCAAGGTGTTTGAGAACGTTGCTGTTTCGATATTTGGAACTTCGTTTCTCGTGATCTCAAGATTTTTAGACGGCTCTTCCGAAGGCACTTCGGGATTTTCTTCAACGTTGACAAAGTTTGGTGCAGGGGTCTCGGGGGTTTCGGTTCCCTGTTCACTTCTCTCCTCGTCTCGAGATTGAATCGTAGATTTCGTTCTGAAAGACTTTCTCTTTGATCCTCTCGCCGACGATATTTCCTCTACGGGAGGATCAATTGATTCCAATTCTGTTTTTCCATCGATAAATTCATTCGTTTCTCCTTCCTCATGAGGTTTCTTGGAAGATCTTCTTGTTGATAATTCGACTTTCGAGTACAGATCCAACGTTTCCACGTGCGATTTCTTTTCCTCATTTTTCGTCACAACACTGGTAATGGCATCTTCTTTATTTGTGGCTACGTGTTCTTCTAAATTCTTGTCTTCAGAATTCTTATTATTTTCAGAAAAATTTTCCAGTATTTCGATATCCTTTTTGTCCATCGAATCCGTTGTTTCGGATGCGTCAGTTTTCTTCGCGTAACATTCTATTCTATTTTCGTTAATTTCAGTAGATAAGTCGTTTTTAATGTTTTCTTTGGTAGAAGGCACTTGCTTTGATTTTTCAATTGATCTCATCACGTCATTGGTCATCAAATTCTCAGAAATTAAATTCTCCTCGGTATTATTATCTGCCGACTCAGTGGACTTTCTTTTGTTCTTCTTTGGCGATTTCCTCTCTAATCCCCTCTTTTTCGACTTCCTTTTCATCTTTGTCTCTTCGCCCACCTCTTCGTTCATCGATTCCTCTCCCGGCCTCGACAAATTCTCCACGGAAGAACTTTCCACTTCTTGAGAATGCAAACCGTTCTCAGCAACGGATAATCGAATTTCACTTTCATCAGAATGTACGACAATTTCATTGTGGCGAGTCACTTTCTCGCTCGAACATGTCTCGTTTCTCGTTTCTTGTTTTTCTTCTTGCAATTTCGTTTCTATCCGTTTATCAGCAATTCCTTCTTTCTTGCAAGTATTCGTAAATCCATCTTCTGCATCACAAACGTTGGTCTCTAATTTTTTAACGCGTTCCTCCTCCATCGAGTTTCTCCTCTCTTCTTCAGTTTTAACACCAGAATCATTATTTTCCAAATTCTTATCACAAGTATCGGGTGTTAAAATATTCTGGCAATTAGTCGATTCTTTCATAATTTCTCGTTTGTTATCTTGAATCTCCGTTTTACTTTTAACTTTCGGTTCAGCTGAATTGTCGATACCGACCTCTGAGAAAGCAGGCCCGACTTCCTCCAATATGCTGGTGAGTTCGTCGGCAGCGGTGTCCAATAGAGAGCCAACCTCACCCTCGAGCAAAGCATCTTTCTGTTTGGCTATCTTCGAAACTATTTTCTCTAAGAACGACCCTTTACCTTTCTGCTTCCTCCTCGACAAATCCAAAATGATATCGTTGGTTGGGGACATTGGTTGTTCCCCTGTCGCATCTTTGGTGAACGATTCCACTTTTTGATTATTCTCCATTGATTTAACCAAGTTCGAATCCTTGATGGAAGTTTCTGGAACCTCGGGATCCCGCTTCAAATTTTCAGCGGCAACTTTCTGAACGGGAGATGTACTCTCGATCAACTGATTATCAAAATTATTCATCGGCTCTTGAACGGTGTTTCTCGAGGATTTAACATTTTTATCCAAATTTTGCGACTTGATTGAGGTTTCGTTGCTGGATTGTTGAACGTTGTTTTGAAAAGATTCGTGAGATTCCACGTTGTCCACGGTTGTTTGCGCGTTTAAAACATTTTGTTGAGCCTCTGCAGGGATGTTCATGCCTTCTGTAAGAATGCCAATTACGTTATTCAAAGATCTTTTCGAAACTCTCTCTTTCTTGACCCCCCACGATTTCCTGGGCCTGCCAACTTTCAACTTTTGAACGGGTGCAGGCTTTTCCAACGCGTTCTCCTTACCACTGTCCATGGAGTTACTCGTTTCCAATTGCAAATTTAAATTCTCATTCACCTTGATCGCCTCACCGTTCCCTGAAAAATTAGACATTTCTTTCGATTCCTCCTTCTCGCAACCCTTGGACAACGCTTTCTCGTCCCCTTCTTCCTTGCTCCTCACAACTTTAATCTCCTCGCTCGCGACATCCTTTTTGCAATCAGAGTTTACCTCATTCTGCTCCATCGAATTAACTTTATCGATAACTTCGGCCGAATTACTCTTGTCAGTTTCCACCACCACGTTCTTTGACGCCTCGACGCTCTTTTTATCGATCATTTCCAGATTGCCGGATTTAATTCTGCCTCGCCTCTTTCCAAAACTGTTCCTCTTCGTCGACCCGCCAACGTCCACGAGCTCGTTTTGAACTTCACCCTCGGCGGAATTCAACAACGAGCCCCTAGTTTGCCTCTTGTCCACCGTTTCGAGCTCCGACTTGTTTTGGCAGTCGGACATTTGATAGGAACTCGTCGATGATTTGCCCTCGTTCGACAGACTGCTGCTCCTTCGCCCCCTGACCGCCGGTCTCGCCTCGTTCACCGCCTCTCTCATCCCGTTACAACTGTCCTCCAACGCTTTCTCATCCTTAGACCCGATAATCCTCTCCTTCTTGTCCGTTTTCCTCAACGACTTCCTCCTAGCGTCCAACTTCTCCTTCTTCGTGGAAGCGTCCGAGACGGATCCTGAATCAAGTTGGGCCCTTTCCAAATCCAAATCCCTGCGAAATTTACCCCTCTCCTGCTCGAATTTGAATTTAGCGGGCTGTCTGAGGCAACGTTTGGAAGTGGCGATCCTTGAAGTCAACGCCAACTTCGTCAACAAATCCTCCTTACTGTCCGACCCTATCAACTTCTTCACCTCGAAAGGGACGCTATGAATCTTTAACGGGCTGTCATCCACGACCAACACTCTGTCCAATTTCGTCTTGCTGCCTCTCGTTTCCAATTTCCCCTCCTCCTTCCTCTGTTTCGCTTCCCTCCTCGCCTCCTCCCCACTCTTCTTCTCACCTCTCCTCTCCTCCTGTAGTATTATCCTGGCCGGGGCGCTTCTCCTCTTCAATTTCTCCTTAACTCTCCCTTCCTCCCTCGAAACGTCCAAATTTCTCGCGCTCTCCCCCTTCGCCCTCCTCCCCTTAACCGATTTTTCATCCCTCTCCGATTCTTCCACCTCCCGTTCCCTGCCTCTTCCTTCAATCCCCATTCTCTCGCCTTCCTCCGAGCTTCTCCCTCCGCCCAAGTTCCTGCTGCCAACAATCGCACCCTTGCCACGCGGCAGACTTACTTTCTCCTGGCCTGAGGTGGCGGTGGCCGGGGACAGGATCGGTAGATCCACGTTGGTCGACGCCTCCGAGTACTCCTCCAAGTTGGACGAGTTGGAGGACGCTTGGAGAACGGCGGGTTCCAACGTGGGCATCTTGTCGCTGTCGGAGGAGAGCCTCGTGATCCTCTTCGGCGCCGCCACCTGTTGCTCGTTGCCATCCTTGCCGCTCTTGAACATCTCCCTCAATTTCGGCCTCGTGACGGACGACTCCTGCTGCCCCCCTCCTCCCCCTGCCTCGCCGTTCCTCAGCTTCGCCGTCAACCGGCCGGAAACGGGACACCTCATCTCAGCGGGCGGTTTGTGAACAACAGGGGACAGGAACTCCTTGTTGGGATTCCTCGCGAATTTCCCATCCTGGGTCCTCAGCTGGGACTTGGCCTTGATGGAGGCGTTCAANGAGGAGGTTGGTTTCGCGGCCTCGCAACCCGGCTCTCCCTTCGTTTCCGAGGTGAGATTCCTCGAGGAAGCTGCTCTGGACGACGATTTGGACGCCTTGAAGGGGTTGCCAGTCCTCTTAGCTTGATCCAAAGCACTCAGTTTCGCCATCTCCTTCGTCCTCACGTTCCTTCTCTTGCCCAACACCCTCGGCCCCCTCGCCACTTTATTACCTCTGCCGCCCCTCGTCTCGTCCGGAGCAATGGCGTTGGTGCACGCATCCAACGCGATGGAATCCCTCTCTTTGGTTTCTTTCCTATCAACGGTCATCCCTCCTCCCTCCCTCGCGACATCCTCCAACTTGTCGCCCGACCTCCTCTCGTCGCGAGGCGTGTAATTTCTCACCACGCTCTCGATGACGGCCGATATGTTGTCGATCCGGCAACGATTCCGTTGGATCGACTTGGCGTTCTTCAGCAGCTTGTTCCTCAGGACGGCCTTGTTCCGGGACATACGGGAAGCGGTTGAATTATCGCCGACCATTCGCGGCCTCGTTCTCCCGGTTTGCGCCTGTACAGACAGGTAAAACCTTCGTGGTAGTGTGTTTGAGTGTGTGTATATATGTGTGCGTTCTTTGGCCGAGGAAGTTTTTGGTGGAAACTAGAGAGTTATCTAGAGGTGTTAATTATAGGTGAACCTCTCTGGTGACTCTATTTAGTCTTATATAAGAAATACAATTTGTGTGTAATTTTATAAGAGAGAAAATTTTGATCTTTTTTTTTGTGTATATACATGTGTGCGTTCTTTGGCTGAGGAAATTTGAAGTTTTTGGTGGAAACTAGAGAGTTATCTAGAGGTAATAATTATAGATGAATCTCTCTGGTGACTGTGCTGACTATTTAGTCTTACATAAGAAATACAATTTGTGTGTAATTTTATAAGAGAGAAAATTTTGATCTTTTTTTTGTGTATATACATGTGTGTTGAAAAAATTTGACTGTAGAAATTTTTGGAAACTAGAGTTACCTAGAAGTGATAATTATAGGTGAACCTTTCTGGTGATTGTGCTGACTATTTAGTCTATAAGAAATATAATTTGTGTGTAATTTTATACAAGAGAAGATTTTGATATTTTTTTTATAATTTTGTGAGATGATTTTTGTTTATATCGTTCGTGAAAAAATTTGTAATCTTGAGTTTAAGTGCAAAATATCATTGAGCAATATAATCTGGGATTGCTTTTTTTTGGAGAAGAAAAAATGAAATTTTTTAATCCAAGAAATTAGAAATTAGAAAAAAACCCAAAAAATACATTTGAAGGTAAAAATTCTGGAAAATTACTATTATTCTCAAAAATATTCTTACAAGAAAGTAGAAAAAACCATCTAAAATTTGTAAATTTCCTGATTTTTCGATTCGAGCCAGTTCAAACATTCAAATGTTTATATCAAAACTTAGAGAAATCAATGGATCAATCAAAGGATCAAAAAGCTTCTTATATCACCAATAACAGCCTTAAGCTAAAGATAAAACTTTCGAGGTAATAAATTTAAAATATCTATCTTCAGGTAAAAAGATCGATTCGAATGATTTTCTAATTTTCCACGAATCAATTGGAATCGCAGTAAAAACTATCTTATATACACCGTGATTACATATCCTTTCTATAGATGTATCTGTGATCCACTCTAAGTACTCTAAGTATTGGACATATGTGCACGTGCGGACAGCTGTGTTGTATAATCAATACTCCACTTATATCTGTGTCGTCCAGTCGGAGCCGGTCTGTGTTATTGCCTTGTCATTATCGAGTTTCATCTTTTTCGTACATAGCTAGGATCCAGGTCATTCACTAACCGAAGCTGTTTGCTCGTTCGTCTAATTTCAATCAACCGCCAAA